GCACCTGCTGGTAGCTAAGTCCTGGGATGTGCTCGACTGTCTCCATTTGGATTGCTCCAAGGCTGGGGACACTGCTGGCAGCTACCTCCTTGGTCCCCTTTCCATCTAAGACCCAGCCCACCTTTCTTTCTTCCTTCTTCTTCCTCTTTTATTTTTGGGTGGGGGTGGGTACCAGGGATTGAACCCAGGGGCACTTAACCACTGAGTCACATCCCCAGTCCTTTTTATTTCTTATTTTGAGAGAAGGTCTCGCTAAGTTGCTTAGGGCCTTGCTAAGTGGCTGAGGCTGGCTTTGAACGTGCAATCCTCCTGCCTCAGCCTTCTGAGTCACTGGGATTACAGGCATGTGTCATCATGCCCAGCCCAGCCCACCTTTCTGATGACTTCTTTTCAGTCTTTAAGACTCTCTACCCCAACACTGATACATTTTAGGGTCTGTTCTTGACATCATCCAATGACTTTACAAACTCGTAGACATTTAAAATTGTGTTTCCAGCCCCAACACATCTCCCGAAATTTAGCCTTTCTGCCTACACCTTTCCACCTGGATGCCCCACAGATCCCTGGACTCCTGTGACCCAACCTGAGTCAATGGACCCATCCCACCCGCCTGCCCCCAGTGATCCCAGCCCATGCTCTGCCCCCTCCCTCCACTCTTCCCGTCTGATTAGCTATTCTCTTCTGTAGATTCTACTGTCCCAAAGTTGGCCACACCTCTTCCCTGTGCTCCCTGCCAATGCCCTGCTTTATTCCATCAGCCACTTTTGACTAACTACTATAAGGACCTAGTTGTAACTTGCTTCTCTCTTGCTTGTGGGTTCTCATAAAGATCATTTTAGAAGCTTCATGGAAGTGCAGAAATCCAGGCCCCAACCCAGAGAGTCTGATTTGGGAAGCCCAAGGTTGGGGCCAGGTATCTGAATTTGGAAAAACCTCCCCAGATGATTCCAGTGCAGGTGGCCCCAAAACACTGTCAAAAAGCACATTACTTTGCCTCTCCTTATTCCAGTCCTGTCTCCACATGATTAATAACTGCAGCTATTACTACCTAACAGTTTTGAATGCTTTAAGACACTCCAAGATCATGAACCTGCTATGTGCACATAGCCCACTATCACAGCTCTGCTAATACTTCACCCTTTTACCCTTGAGAAAAACGAGGTACAGAGAGCTATTAACTAGCCCAAGGGCCAGTCTTTGATCCGGAGCCAAATTCTCAACCATGGGTTTTACCATCTCATTTGCTCCCACAGTCCTGCTGTCCTAAATGCCTATGTCTCCAGATGCTCCTCTTTCAAATGACTACCTGGATTAGCTTTCTGTGACTTAATAAATTACAGAGATTTATTGGTTCATAGTCTTGTAGGTCAGAAGTCTGGGCAGGCCTTGACTGGGTCTTCGGTTCATGGTCGCACAAAGCTAAACTGGAGGTGTCATCTGGGACTTTGTTCTCCCATGGAGCTCAGGGTTCTCTTCCAAGCTCACTGGCTATTGGCAGCGTTCAGAATTCTTATAGCTGCAGGACTGAAGTCCTGTTTCTTTGCTGATGGTCAGGCAGAGGTCATTCCCTGCTTGTTAGAGGCTGCCTACATCCCTTGCCATATGGCCCCATTCATCTCTAAAGCCAGCAAAAGAAAATCTTGCCTAGGATGAGTACTTTTCACTCTTCCAATTTTTTCCAGGAAAAGCCCAGTCCTCTTTAGATGGTCACCTGATTAGGCAAGGCCCACTCAGAATAATCTCCAGATTGTAAGATCAACTGTTTGGGGAACCTTAATGACATCTGCTAATTCTCTTGAGAATAGCACTCTAAATTGGTTTGAGTAACTAGGAGAAGGTGTGTGTATCTTGAGGGCTGAGAATTTCTTGGGGGTCATCTTGTTCTGTCTATTATACCATGTAAACTTCAAAACTCTGCTCAAAGGTGACTGCTTTTCTCCATGTTTCTGGGCAGAGTTAGGTCCTCTCTTGTACCCATGGCATGGAATACGCACTCATTATAGTTGTCCAATGTGGTATAATGGTATTTCCGGTCCTTTATGCCCCAGCCAGGCTGGGAGGTTCTGAAACACAGAAGCCTGGGTCATCTTTGTTTCCCTAACACTTAATTCATATTTGTTGCTTGAGAGTGAGTGATGTGCCCCAGCAAGCTCTCCAGACAAGAACACTTCCAACAGAGTTACATCCATCTCCTGAAAGTGCTGTTGACTGCTAACAGCACGTGCCTCCCTGGAAGTATGGGGAAATGTCTGGGCCCCAAGTCTTCTAGCAGAGTCTCAAGGGCAGGCAGGTAAGGCTCCTGAAAGCCCTGGTGAGCGCAGCATTGCCGGGATGGTGAGGCGGCGGGACCACTAGGTGTCACTCAAGATTCAATAAAGAGAACCGGGTCCTCAGGAGGCTGTTTGCGCCTTTCTTGGCCAGCGAGGAGGCTGGCTAGACTGTTCCCACCCACTGTTTTCAGGGGGTTGACATTCCCACACCACCCTCTCTTCTGCAACTCCCCACGCGGACACACTTTGGGTCTAAAATAGGACAGCAGAGTCAGGGCCACTAGGGTTGGTGCCACCTGACTATCGATCGCCCTCTGCATCACCTCACAGGAGTGGGGTGCTCTTGCAAGGCCAGGCACAGAGCCCTGCTCCAGCCCTCAAGTGGGTCCAAGCGCCACTCCCTATCTTCTGACAGTCCCGGAGTTGGGGAGTGGGTGGGTCCTGATTCTTAAAGGATGCACTAGTTGGTTCTGGGGCCCCAGCGTCAGGCCAGGATGGGTAGGGTGACAGGGTCAAAAGAGGGTTCTGAGGATAATCTCAAACAATATCTTTTCTTGGGACTTTAGGGATGGGGAAAATGATGGGGGTGGGGATGCTTCCGACTGCCCAGCACCAGGGAGATCAGCATCTGCAATTAACCACAATCCCTTTCCTCATGTCAGGGGGATGTTCAGAGCTGAAGAAGAGGGGGGACAGAAAGTGCTTGTGAGGAACATCTCCTTGACAGGACTTCAAGTCGATTTTCCTGCATCTTTCCCTCTGGAAGAAAGGGATGTCTATCAGCGAGGTTCCCAGCCAACTAGAGGACAGGCAGACGCATTTCCCCTCACCCCCGGCAGAGGGCGCCCATCCCCTGCGCCAGCTCCCTGCTGGGCACGTAGCCTCCAGCTTAGCTCCGGGCCCTGCCCCAGGCAGGCTGGGCCTCCAGCCTGGAATGGGCATCGGGAGCTGGGATAATTCCAAAGTCACCTCTGTCTGACCTTGAATACAATCTTTGAATGTCCAGCTCCTTTACCCCAAGCTGATTTACTGCTCCTTTTTATTTTCTTTAGTGAATACTGAAATTCATTTGCATTCCCAGAGTCCTGGTAACAGAGAAGCTTCCCTGTTAGATGAGAAAGCAGCTAAAAATCGGGCTCAGGATGCAGAGTCCTCCCTGGGCTCCTCCACAAAGCGAATACTCTATCAATATAATGATTTCCTTTAAAACTTGCAAAGCGGCTTTTCTATGTAAAGCTTGAAGGCTTCTATTCATCTCTTTCCTGTTTGCATGAAAACTTTCATTCATCCATTTATTTGTTCAACCCACATTTTTGGGGAGCACTCTCTGTGTGTCAGGTATCTGGGTGAAAATGGCAGAATTGGTTCCTGACTTTGGTGGAGCTAATGGTCTAGTAGGGAAGATACACTGAATAAATGCTTTCAGGCAACATGAGTTGTTTAGGCCTGAGATGAATGGTAAAAAGGAAAAGTGGAGGTTTCTGGGGGACGGCACTAGATAAAGTCCTCACCTGGATCTCAGGTGTGACTGTCCTCTGGAATCTTCTCTGTGGCCCTTCACACTCCTGGGCTGAGGGCCATTTGGCAAGGCATTAGCCATTTTGCATGATTGAAATTCACATTACCAATCTCTTCTGAGGCCTGATGCTAACAAAGTCTGAAAAGGACAAGAACAGCTCTGGGTGCCGCATCCTCTTCTTCAATGTTTACTGACCACCTACTAATGGGGCTCGGTGTTCAGTGCTAAGTATGCAAATGGGACAGGAGACACAGAAAGAGCATCGAGCCAAAGGCCAAGGGTGGTACAAACTGATGGAGTGCAGTGTCTGAGATTTTATGAACCGCTAAAAATGAGACTTACTTAGGATTGGGTCCAGTTAATTAGAGATCTATTATATCCGTGGATTAAATGAGATATAGAAGAGAAATTTGTCTCCACTATCACAGTCTGGAGTCCCACAGAATAAGGGGAAGGTGACCCTGAGCCTTCTGTGCCCTTTCTTGAACTATTCCCAAAAGAAAGAAGAAACTGGAGACTCACATCATTTTTCACTGTACACCTGCTGCCCGAGTATTCTTTGAAATTTATAATTCAGATCCTTATCTTGCTTATCATCTTCCTGTGGCTTCCCATACTGGCCAGAGTCCCTCCCACAGCTTACAACGTCCTGCCTGCAGTGGCTACCTGTTCTCAGCTCAGAATATTCTGGCCACAGCCTTCAGCCTGCTTTCTGCTCCTTGAACACACCATGCTTTTCCTAAATCAATACCATTTCTGCCTGCACCACCTCCGGGTAGCTCCTTCAATGGCTCTCTCTACTCCGCCCGAGGCCTCAGCTCATGTCACCTCCTCAGAGTGTCCCCTCCCTCCTTATACACTGGTGGGGCTTATCCCTGCCTGAAGCCACCTTTCTTAATCTGCCTGTTTACTAGGCGTCAGTGTGTAGCCTCCTTGAATACTGGGACCTCCTCTGTCTCCCTCACTTCAGCAGCCCCCATGACCTGAAGGAAAGATCCCCGGAGCTTCTGTAGTAGAGACATGAGAAATGAGCTGAATAGAAAAGAAGGAGGAATTGATCTGGATTCTAGCAGAGACAGGCTTGCTCCCTGTTTGGGCTGTGGGAGCTTCTCACTGACTAGCTAATTGAGGATGGCAGTAATGCTGGCATTTTCACACAGATAAGCCACGGTCGACCCTTGCAGCCTGCTCCAGCCCACACTTACCATCAACTGAGTCTGAGAAGAAGGCTTTTCCTAGCTGAGTGGGAGACTTGTTCTCTCACTTGCCTGCATCTGCTTCGTTGCAAACGGATGCCCCAACGTGGGTCTTGATTGGGAAATGTGGAAATGATCTCTGGGAACAAAAGGCATCTTTTTCAGGAGGCCAGCCCAATCCCTGCTCTGTGGGTGCTAGGTGGACATTTACAGAACCACCTAATTCAGCTGGGTTGACTCCAGACTTACCTGTGGAGAGATCGTCCTTTCTTGTTCCTGCCGGGCAGCATTCCTGTGTGATCACAGAAAATGTCCCAGGCTGCACAGGGAAGAGGGGCTGAAGGCTCTGTGGTGCTGAAAGAAATTAGTCTCCATCAGTGAAAAGATTTTAGGTTGCAGACTGTAAATATGTAAAATGTTCAAGGAATATTGTATGTCCTTGTCTTTTAAAAATATATCCGAAACAACCCAAAATATCCACCATCAAATGCATGATGAGTCAAACTATGTTTTACACATGCAAGGGAATATTACTTAGCCTTAAAAAGGAATGAGGTTTGGATAGGTGCTACATTGTGAATGTTTTTTTTTGCAGATGTCAAGCTAAGCGAAACAGTTTGGACCCACAGGACAAGATTTCACTTAATTGAGGTTCCTAAACAGTCAACTTCATGGAGATAGAAGTGAACTCTGAACCCTAACAGACAGAGGGGGAGGAGTGGGAAGTTATTATTTAATGGGCACAATATTTTAGATGGGGATGTTGCAGAAGCTCTGGACATGGTAGTGATGGTTGTTGCTCTAAATTCCTCATACAAGTGGAATCTCGTAGTGTTGGTCCTTTCGTGTCTGGCTTAGTTCTTTTAACACGGCTTCAAGGTTTATCTGCATTATAGCATGTGTCAGACTTTCCTTTCTTTTAAAGTCTGAGTAATAATCCATTGTGTTGTGGGATCAAAGGGAATTTCCCCTCTTCTCTATCAAGGTTTGCTGGAGTCAACTGAGAAATATTAAATAGGAAGGCACACAGATTTATTTATGTACAAAAGAAGAATCACTACTGTGAGGGTCACCCCCAGCCCAATATCATTCAGAAGCTAAAAGGGATATGAATATATCTCCACATCCCTTTTTCTAGATATAGAAGGGGAAAGAATGGGGAATGTAGATAATTGTGAGGGGCTGGAAATGATGAGTGGAGGGAAGGAATGATCACTGGAGATAGATTAGCTGGTAAAAAGATTCTCTTTGGAACTTGAATGAGCCCAGGGGACAATCTGCCCAGGTGTATTTACAATCCTCTGTCTTCTTTCCTGAGATAAATGATGGGGATAGAGATTTGTAGTCTGATCTCAATGCAGATAACGCAAGTTCAGAGAAATCTCTTCCTACATGGGAGTGGACAGAAGAAATAGAAACTTTTCCTTTAGGGCAAACACTCAGCATGCCACAAAATGCCCTAATTTTTGGACATCATTCCCAGTCATCAGCCCCAGTAGTTAAGTACATGCTGCATTTTGTTTATCCGTCCATCCATTGATGGGCACTTGGTTTGCTTCCACCTTTTGGCCACTGTGAATAATGCTGCTATGGATGAGTGTATAAATTTCTAGGAGTCTACTTTCAATTTTGGGGGGGGTCTATATCCAGAAGTGGAATTTCTGGATCAACTGGTAATTCTATTTCCAGTTTTTTGAAGGCCTCTCCCTGCATGCTGTTTTTCATAGTGGCTGCACCATTTAACATTCCCACCAGCAGTGTTTAAGTGTTCCAATTTCTCTGCATCCTGACACCTGTTATTTTTGTTCTTATTTTTTCTTTTTTTGGTACTAGTGATTGAACTCAGGGCACTTCACCACTGACCTGTATCCCCAGTTATCCCTTTTATTTTTAATTTTGAGACTGGGTCTTGCCAAGTTGCTGAAACTGGCCTTGAACTTGTAATCCTTCGACTTCAGCCTCCCAAATAGCTGGGATTCAGACATATGTCACTGTGCTCAGCTATTTTCTGTTTTTTTTTTTTTTTTTGTAATAGCCATTCTAATTTGGTGAGGTAGTATCTCATTGTCATTCGATTTGCATTTTTATAATATAGTGATGTTGAACATCTTTTCATGAGCTTATGGCCATTCATATATCCTCTCTGAAGAAAAGTCTATTCATTAAAATGGTGAATTTTATGTTATGTGCATTTTACAGCAATAAAAATCCCTAAATCTAGAAAAATATTTCTTTTACTTGTCACCATTTTCCCGAAATTGTAGCTGAATTGGTTTCTAAATGTATGCTATAAACTTGTTTACTTGAGAGCATGAGTTGGCTTCACAGAAATCTCAGGAAAAGGTGTGTGTGTGCATGTGCACGTGTGAGTTTGGGAGGGATCTAGGTTATAACCATGTGTCTAAAATGAACAAGTAAAATCAAGATGTTAAAAACTGAGGTGGAAAAGAGGTCATCTAACTAACTGCTTGCTTTTCTCTCTATTTCTTCTACTTGCAGATTTTGGAAAAAATAGCAAATGTCCTATTTCAAAAAATCCAGCATCTAAGCTGGAAGTATACCTAACGCTTGTTTTGCACTTTTAACACTAAGTTTTGAGTGCAAAACTTGAAAGGTGAGCTTACCAGCATTTGTCTCTTATTTGATTGCCGAAGTGAAATTTGCTCGTTCATTTCAGAGATATTTATGAGTACATGATGGGTCAGGCACTGGGGACAAAAAAAGGAAAAAGAGTTAAACATAACCTCTCACATTCCTACAAGCAGGATTGGCTACAAAATTTGTAGGGTTCAGTACAAAATGAAAATGCAGGGTCTATTAGGGAAGTATTTAAGAATTTATGAAGAATTATTAATGCAACAAGAGAGCATTAAGTTAAGCACAGGGTCCTTCTAAGTGTGGGAGTGGGGAACAGGGTCAGACAGGCCACATAAAGGGTAGAATCAGTCTGTTGGCAGCCTTGGGAGGGATGGGCCCTGAGCAATGGGACTCATAGAATTTATCCAAAGGCTGCTCATTGCCATGCTTATATGGCAGTTGCCCCTTATCTGTAGGGATACGTTCCAAGACCCCCCAGTGAATGCATGAAACCACAAATAGTACCCATTCCTATATATCTACTTGTTTTTTCTTCTATACAAATATATGTATGATAAAGTATCATAAAAAGGCAACAGTTGATAGCTTCTCTTTGACATTTCTAAATTGCCAACATCACTTGTCCTACACTTTGGGCCATTGTTAAGTAAAATAAGGATTCCTTGAATATAAGTCCTGTGGTACTATGATAGTTGGTCTGATAACTGAGAGGGCCACTAAGTGGTTGATGGTGGGTAGCATTTACACTATGGATACAGTGGACAAAAGGATGATTCACATTCCCTGCAGGACAGAGTGAGATTTCTGATGCTCTCAGAATTGTACTCAACATATACTCATTAAAATAGTTCACATTTGATTCTGAAGTAAAATGTGGGTATGACAAGGATGATGAGAAACTCTGACTTATTGTAGGAGAAGGATGACGATGGTTTCATCTACTATGTTCCAGGCACTGAATTAGGTGTCAGTTTAACTCTCATAAGTAAACTTGTAAAATAGGGAGTTTTGTTTGTATTTTAGGGATGAGGATATGAGACTCATAGAGTGTTATGGTTTGATATGAGGTGTCCCCCAAAAGCTCCTGTGTTAATACAGGAATATTCAAAGGTGAAATGATAAGATTATGAGAGCTGTAACCTAGTCAGTCCATCCTAGCTTAAATGACTGGGTAGTAACTGTGGGGACATGGGGCATGGCTAGAGGAGGTAGGTCACTGGGGATGTCCAGTGGAAGGGTGCATCTTCACTTGGGCCCTTCCCCTTCCCCTTCCGCCTGTCTGCTTCCCGGCTCCCATGAACAGAGCAGCTTCTCTCCAACAATGGAATTGGCCCACCACGGACTGAATCTCTGGAACCGTGAGCCCAAATAAACCTTTTCTACTCTAAACTGTTTTGTCAGGTAGTTTGATCACAGTGAGGCAAAGCTGCCTGACACAGAGAGATTAAGGAACTTGCTGAAGATCACACAGGTAGTCAGGGACAGACTTGGGATTCAAACCAAATCCCAAAGCCCTTGAGATTTCTGCTAAGTTGCTAGACCCTATCCAGCCCCTGCTTCTTATAGACATCTCTGAATCCTAATATCTGACAAAAAGTAGAAACTATTTCCAAAATTGATTCGCACAGGTTTTATATCTTGATGTCATTCTGGAAATTGGTATTATGATTTCTGAATATAAATAGAAACTATCTGGAAAGATAGCATTTCACTGTGCAAAATGCTAGTGGTACCTATTCTGATGCCAAATCAATTCAACTATTAAATGTGAGGCACTATGCTAGGTGCTGTAGATTACACAAAATTAATAGAGAAACTGTCCTCAAAGAGAAGGGCAAGGGGGATCCAAGATGGCGGGCTAGAGGAAGGCAGCATTCTGTGTCGCTCATGACCTGGGACTCAAATAGTGAGAATACTGCTTCTCTGTGAGCAATATTCCTGCTCCCATGCAGGAATCAGGGCCACCATGCCTGTTCAGGGCTCCAGGTCTTAACATTAGAGTAGGTCTCCCAACTACTCGCCCACACGGGACTACTGGGTACCATAGTGGGACCACTGGCATCAGCACCCACAAAGAACTTTTGGCCACCCACCCAAGCAGAAATTATGGACACTGCTCCCACACAGGACACCTGGCAGCTTCCCACAAGTACAAACTCCAGCTGCCACCCTCATGTAGACCCCCATCTACCAACGTGGTGCTCCCCCAGCCACCACCATCTTGAGACACTGCAGTAGTGGAGATGGTCCCCTATGCGCAGCGGCCTGCCTGCACCTGGGAACCTCACACAGGCTCTGAAGTCATCCAACAGCTACACACTGCATGCCACAGAGCTTGTCTCTGAACTCCTTGTCCAATGCCACCGTCCAGCTCCCTGCACCTGATCTGATACCCCATTGATGAAAGCAGTTACCTCCATCTTGGGCCACCTTCATCACCCTCTTAAGTGGGGGGGCAACTCCCAGTTTGGAACTCTGGCTGGCCAGGTACCTAGTACAGGTACCCAGGTACTCCCCCTTCTCCCCAGGAGCTGCTACCTGGCACAGTGACACTCTGGTTACCTTCACCATCCTGAGGGTGGAGATACCAGCTAACAACAGAGGACCCCATCTATTGAATGAGAAAGGAAGTAGGAAAGATACTGATCTCCAACCAAAACAATACCTGTTTCTTCATTTAAGATTTTTTCCCCCTCTCCTGCCTACACATCCCCAACATATGTGAAACCAAGTACTTTGCATAAATTAGGATTTTGAGGACTGGGACATCTGAATAGTATATTATAGCTGTGTTGTGTATTCTTTTTTTTTCTTTTTCTTTTTTCCCCACCAATTTCTACTATTTTAACATTTTTTATCTCTCCTAATATATATGTGTGTTCATTTTATGTACTCTACTGTCTTCCCATGTACTTATCTACCCAAAATTACTTCCTCTCCCTTCTCCTGCTACTAATCTTCCTCTTTAAATTTCTCTTTCACACTTCTTAAGATATAACAACTCTATATCCTCACCTCCTACCTCCTCAGCATATCATCCTACTCCTCACCCCCCATTCTTTGTCCACCATCAGAAACTGTAAACCCTTTTACAAACCTACTGAGTATATTGTAGATAATAATTGAATTCACCATTTCTGTACATTGTGTACAGAACCAAACTGTAAACATCTTAATAGCAAACATTTGTTTTTAGGGTGTATATTATTTATATTGGGATCTGTTAACATTGTCTTTCATCTCAAAGAAGAGGTACTGGATCCCTACAGGGGCACTATAAGCCTAAAGGGTAAAAACAGTAATGCCTCGGATTCACAGTACTAGAAGGGAAGACATGCAAGCAACATGAAAAGACAAGGGAAGAAAGTGCCCCAAATAAATCAAGATACCACATTATTAGAATCTATGGCCAGCACAGCAGAAGAGTTCAAGATGAACATAATTAAAATATTCTGTGAATTAAAGTGTGATATAAGAGAGCAAATACAGGTAGCGGAAGATAATGTTGACAATGAGCTACATAAACAAATACAGGAAGCAAAGGATTACTTCAATAGGGAGAAAGAGTTTCTAAAAAAAAAAAAAACTAAACAGAAATCCTTGAAATGAAAGAAACAATAAACCAAATTAAAAGTTCAGTTGAAAGCCTCACCAATAGATTAGACCACTTGGAAGACAGGACATCAGACAATGAAGACAAAATATATAATCTTGAAAAGAATGTAGACCACACAGTGAAAATGGTAAGAAACCATGAGCAGAACATTCAAGAAATATGGGATAGCATGAAAAGACCAAATTTAAGAGTTATTGGGATAGAAGTAGACATAGAGTTCCAAACCAAAGGAATGAGCAATTTATTCAATGAAATAATATCAGAAAATTTCCCAAGCATAAAGAATGAATTGGGAAACCAAATTCAGGAGGCTTACAGGATGCCAAATGTACAAAATCACAACAGATCCACACCAAGGCACATTATAATGAAAATGCCTAGCATACAGAATAATGAGAGAATATTAAAAGCCACAAGAGAATAGAATCAGATTACATATAGGGGGAAACCAATTAGATTACATGCAGATTTTTCAACCTAGACCCTGAAAGCTAGAAGATCCTGGAACAACAAATATCAAGCTCTGAAAGAAAATGGAGCAAATTTTTACCACTTACACATCAGATAGAGCACTAATCTCCAGGGTACATAAAGAAGTCAAAAGGCTAAACACCAAAAAGACAAATAACTCAATCAATAAATGGGCCAAGGAACTGAACACACTTCTCAGAAGGTGATATACAATCAATCAACAAATATATGAAAAAAATGTTCAACATCTCTAGCACTTAGAGAAATGCAAATCAAAACTACTCAAAGATCTCATCTCATTCCAGCCAGAATGGCAGCTATTAAGAATACAAACAACAATAAATGTTGGCGAAGATGTGGGGGGAAAGGTACACTCATATATTGCTGGTGGGACTTCAAATTGGTGCAGAATCCTTGGAAAACTGGGAATGGAACCACCATTTGACCCAGCTATCCCACTCCTCGATTTATATACACAGGACTTAAAAACAGCATACTACAGGGACACAGCCACATCAATGTTTATTGCAGCACAATTCACAATAGCTAAACTGTGGAACCAACCTAGATGCTGTTCAATAGATGAATGGATAAAGAAATTGTGGCATATATACACAATGGAATATTTCTAAGCAATAAAAGAGGATAAAATCATGGCATTTGCAGGTAAATGGATGGAGTTGGAAAATATAATACTAAGTGAAATTTTTCTATCCCCCCAAACCAAATGCCAAATGTTTTCTCTGATATAAGGAGGCTGATTCATAGTGGGGTTGGGAGGGGGAGCAAGGGAGGATTAGAGGAACTCTAGATAGGGCAAAGGGGTAGGAGGGGAAGAGAGGAGGCATGGGGGTAGGAAAGACAGTGGCATGAGATAGACATCATCACCCTAAGTACATGTATGAAAACACGAATGGTGTGAATATACTTTGTATACAACCAGAGATATGAAAAATTGGGCTCTATATGTGTAATATGAACTGTAATGCATTCTGCTATCATGTATAACAAATAGGAATCTA